GCCACCCCAACAAGTCATGTCCTTCTAGTGTCAACAATCTAGTATTTCTTAATGTTATCCATTCCTTAGCCCACATCAAATTTGCACCTCCCAATTAGGCAAACCAAATCCTCCTCTAATTGTAGCACCTTGCAAAAGTTTTAATTTTATTCTTGCTTTTTTACCTTGCCATATATATTTCAACACAATTTTATTTAAATCTTCAAAATAGTCTTTTCCAAGCCTAATTGGAATTGTTTGAAACAAATATAAAATTCTGGGTAATATATTCATCTTGATTGTTGAAATTCTCCCTATTAATGACAGTTGTAGATTTTCCCATTTCGCCAAATCAAGAGCTATCTGCTGCTTAAGTTTAATATAATTGTTCTCTTTTAATGTACTGCATCTTGCTGTGAGATGTATCCCCAAATACTTAATCTTATTCGTGACTTGAATTTTTAATAGATCTGCCAATTCTTCCTTTTGTCTTGATAACATATTCTTTGTCAAAATCTTTCTGTTGTCTTCATTAATTTTCAAACCAGCCACCTTGCCATATGCCTCTATCTTTTCCAGCAGTTTTGGTGCTGTTTCTAAAGGATCTTCTAAGATAAAAACCAAATCATCCACAAAAGTTTGCAATTTAAATTCTTCCTTTTTAATTTTCATTCCTCTTATACTCTTTTCATCTCTAATATTTCTATTTAACACTTCCAAGGTTAACACAAATAGCAAAGGTGATTGTGGACAGCCTTGTCTTGTTCCTTTTCTTATATTAATAGAGTCTGTCAATTCTCCCTCTATCATTACTTTTGCTGTTTGCTTGTAGTATATGGCTTCTATTGCTTGAATAAATTTTCTGGCAAATCTCATCTGTTCCAACAATATAAACATGAATCGCCAGTTTACATTATCAAATGCCTTTTGTGCATCAAGAAATATCAAAGCCATTTGCTTTTCAGGATGTGCCTCATAATATTCCAGAGTATCCAAAATTACTCTCATATTATCTTTGATTTGTCTCTTTGGCAGAAATCCATTTTGATCAGAATGAATGAAGTTATTTAGATATTTTTAAAGTCTTTCTGCCAATATTGAAGCAAAAATTTTATAATCTGCATTTAATAGGGAAATAGGTCTATAGTTCTTAATCTGCAATGGATCAGTCTTTTCTTTTGGAATGAGTGTGATACAGGCTTCCGACCATGATTGGGGTATCTTCTTCTTTAACATAACTTCATTCATAACTTCTAGCAATGGAAGATTCAACGCTTTTTGTAATGTCTTATAAAATTCTGCCAGAAGTCCATCTGGGCCTGGTGCTTTTCCATTTTTTTGCTTCTTAAGTGCTTCAGTTAACTCCATCAATGTTATATTGCTTTCTAGCATTTTTCCAGTCTCTTTAGGTATCTTGGGTAAATTAGCATTCAGTAAATACTGCTTAACTCTTTCCTCATCGATATTCTCTTGCTTACATAATTTCCCATTAAAATCTTGGATAATTTCCTTCTTTTCTTTGTTGCCATGGCAGACTTGACCTTGGTCATCTATTAACTGTAGTATTTTCCTTGATTCTTTTTCTTTTCTCAACTTATATGCTAACCATCTATCTGGTTTGTTTGCATCCTCAAAGTAGTTCTGTTTAGCACCTCTAATTTTCTTTGCTAATTCTTCTTTCTCTATTTGACCCATTTTGTGTTTAATTATATCCATTTTTACCTTAATGTCCTTTTTCTGTGGCATTTTCTGTAGCTCTTTTTCAAGTCTTTTATGCTCATCCTCTAGAGCCTTAGAGGCTTGCCTTTTCCTAGTATTCCTTTTCCTTGTATAATCTATTATCAAGCCTCTAGCATATGCTTTCATTGTATCCCATACATCCTGAATTGATGTATTTTCTTTTTTATTTTCTCTAAAGAAAAAGGCCAGTTCTTTCTCCATCCGCTGTGTCAAGCCTTTTTCCTTTAAAATAGTATTGTTTAGCATCCATCTCGATCTTCTTTTTTGTCCTTTCCATTTGACTGTCATTGGATTATGGTCTGCCCAAGTACTTGTTTCAATATTTACTTCTTGGATATTAAATAGTAATTCTGTTGACATCCATATCATATCTATTCTGGATGATGATAAATGTCTATTTGAATAAAAAGTATATTGTTTAGTTTTGGAATTTCTTTCTCTCCATGTGTCTTTTAGATTTAATTCCTCAGCCATTTTAAAGAAGGATTCTGGGAGAATCTTTCTGTTTTGCTTTGTTGTTGTTGCTGGATATTTATTGTCTATAATTTATTGTCTACAATTCCATTGAAATCTATCATAACTATATTGGCATAGTCCAGTTCAATTAATTTCATATGTAATTTTTTATAAAATTCTTCTTGTTTAGCATTTGGGGTGTAAATTGCAATCAGGAGTGTTTTCATATTATTGTCTATTATTTCCACCATTAATACTCTTCCATCTTCATCATTATAAATCAGTTTTTCTGGAGTGGTCTCTTTAATATATAAAACCACTCCTCTTTTCTTACATTGGGTCAGAGAAGTAAATATTTTCCCTAATTTTGGCTGTACCAACAGCTGTTCATGTTGTTTTTTGATATGTACTTCTTATAGACAAATTATATCAAATTTTGATTTCTCTAATTTATGAAAAGTTTCCCTTCTTTTAACAGCTGAGTTAAGTCCATTTATATTCATTGTGATCAATATTTTTTCTTCCATGATTATATTTTACAGTTGGGTTTGGCAGCTCTCTCTTGGTTCACGTTGTTCTTTGGTTTCCACCTGTCCACCTACTGCGCCTTCTTCTTTTTCAGTCCCCATTTGGTCACCTTGGAATTCAATTAATGAAATCTCTTTTTCTGCCTCATCCTCTTTCCTTCCAAAAAATTCTGAGTAAAATAGTTCTGCTTTCTCAATTGAATCAATTCTGCATCTCTGTTCTTACCACGTAAACATTAACCCTTCTCAGCAGCACATATACTAAAATTGGAACGATACAGAGAAGATTAGCATGGTCCCTGTACAAGGAGGATAGTGTTTTTCTGAAACCAAATTCTTTATTAGAGAGTACATTGCTTGTCTCTAAGTCGAGGATAATGGATTGGTTAATAATTGATTCCATGACTTTACAGGTCATGCAGCATAAGGAGATTGGTCTGTCATTTTCAACTAGGCTTAGGTCTCCCTTTTTGAAGATGGGATGACTGTGGCTTTTGACCATAGTTTTTTCAAGGAGCTGGTCCTGAAAGATTTTTCAAACATTATGCTTAGAGATTCTGCTATGGTAGTGGATAGCTTTTTAAAGAAGTAGGCACATATTTCGTCCCGTCAAATAGATAGGGATGGCTTTAGATTGCACAGTGCTTTTCCAACAATGTCTTCTGTAAAATCAATATGTATTAGATCATTGTAGTTGTCTGTGGTTCGAATAGGAAGTACTGGGCTTGATCCATTGCTGTTTACAAATACTGAGCCAAAGAATGTGTTAAAGAGGTTGGCTTTGATGGTATCATTGTTGCAGTCCTTTCCACTATGTCCTTTCAGGGGTGGGATGGACTTTGAGTCTTTTATTTTGTTGTTTACAAAATTGTAGAAAGCACAGGTGGAATTTGTGCATAGAAGGTTTTCCTCTTGTTTAATGTGATAATGAGTGCATTCAGTTTTTATCTGGTGGTATAAATTTTTGTATTGGCTTTTGAAGTTGGCAACATGACCACATTTTTTTTTTCACCAAAGTGATCTCCTTTTGGAGAGATTCTTATGGATAATCTTTTTTTCCTGGTTTTGGGAGTTGTTATTGGTACATATAGTTTGATGGCTCTTTTGATTTCTAGTAAGAATATATTGTAATGGTCTTCAACAGTATTGCATCCAGAGAATAGAAATTGCCAATCAAGGGAAGAGAGATCGTTGATTATAAGATCATAGTTGCATTTTTTGAAGTTATAATTGGGGATTTTGTTGTTGTGATGATTTTTGTGAGGATGTATTTTGTGACAAAAGTCAATCATGTTGTGGTCACTGTTGGAAAAGGGTTCTTTAATTTGTATTCCATAAATTGAATTCAAACTATTGCAGAAGAAAGTCACTAAGAAAGATAAAAGCCTGTGGGCAGGATGCTGCCCATGTTAGTTGTATATTTAGCTTGTTTACATGTTTGATGTCATACACACCACCTCCTATTCCTATTCTTACCAAACATTTATTACGTATTCTTCACACTCCACTAAGCTTTTTTATTTTTAAATGGATACCCCATTGTTTAATAGTAAATTGCTTTTCCAGGCAGAAAGGCTATTTATACCACTGTATTTTTATTATTCAACTAATAATAAAAATACAATAGCATAAATAACATGATAACATAAGATCTACCAGCCCTGGTAGATTTCCAGAATAGCAAATAGAAATGGTTGTCAATTATAGATTGTTGATTGTAGATAAATGGATTTACAGAAAACCTTGAAAACCTGGCATTAAACTGTAGTAATAACATAGAATGTTGCTTGCTTTCTATCCAGGTTGTACACTTCTTGAGCCCAGATCATTGTAATCCAGTCAAAGGCAAAGGGATGCTTCAGTGGTCACAAGGAGAGTAGAGTCTCCTCGACTGACCCAAAGAAAACCCCTCCATCTGAACTAAAAAGAGAACCACCAGCATGGCTGAATTGAAGATGGGAAGGCAGCTGAGACACAAGTGCAAAAGAAAGGAAAGATCTTGTAACAGAGTGCTTAGTCTTGGTAAGAATCACTTCAATTTCTGCAGTGGAATTTTCCTTGGAAAGTGGGACTCAAAGGAGGAAACTAGCTGCAATTAATGAGTGAATGGCAGATTTAGTAAAGAAAAAAGATATTGTAGTTAGAAGTAACTTTAAAAGTAAAGGACAGATCTGATTGGTTAACCCAAATTTCTGGACTGTATTTTTACTACTACTCAACTTGAAGAACTTTGGGAAACTATTGGAAAACAATCTTATTCAGAGACATATTGATTGTATTTAAAGTGTTTTAATTCAGCAAGTTTTGCTCTCTTTCAATAATCCCACGTGCTTTTGAACATCCTGTTACAACCTATTGCTTACAGCATAATAGCAGCAGCCATCAGAGCAATAAATTCCTCCCTATGTAACAAATACGCCAATCATGACTGCTTGGGATTACCCGAGCAAATGATTCAATACCTAGAATCATCCAATGAGTTTCCATATCTCTGCAAATCATGCAGAACCCAAACTGGATCTGTTTCAAAGAGTTGATACCATAGAAACACGAATAGCATCCCTTGACACTATAGTAGCATCCCTGGATGCTTTAAAAGAAAGATTATCCAACTTTGAAAAAAAAGACACAATGCAAAAACTTGAACATCCAATAGCTACAAACCACATCTCTACCCAACAACCACAACCCAATCCACAATCCAATCCACACACACACACACACAATCAGACAAATAATGATATCCCAATCCTCATCAGAGAAGTTGTTGAGCATGAATGGAAATGTCAAAACGCCATCTTATTTGGTCTAGAGGACATCAATGACAATGATGACATTGATGTCTGAAACATCATCAAGCATCAACCATCTCCCCTGATGAAATACTTGACATTTCCTGCATTGGCTGAGAGCTCAAAAACAGAGATGGCTCTGTGGCCTCACGCTTCTGCAGCCATTTGCAAAAATGAATCAAGCAAACATAAATTCATTTATACTATAAATTCACTTGCCAAAAGCAAAACCAACTATAAGAACCTCCATTCTCACCCTGACCTAACCATACAACAATGTGCCCGCTCCCATGTACTCTGCACAGAACTCAAAAACCGTCTAGATAATGGAGAGAAGGACCTGTACATTGACTACTGTGCTGACTGTATCAAAAGTAAGTCACACAACCCACAACTCAGCTTTAATCTTCAACTACAACCCTACCTCAACCACTCCACCATAACCCAAGACTAGGCATGCACGCACCAACTACCTCAATTCCAACTACAGCTGGCCTTAAATGCAAGCTACTCAATGCAAGAAGCCTTGTGATAAATACCTGAATTTCTCCTCTTACTAAATATGGCTAAATTTGACATCATATTTGTCTGTGTAACATGGCTCAACACATCTCTCCCTGACTCCCTTACCACAATAAGAGACTATCATGTTTACCGATCAGATCCTGAAATCCATAGAGGAGGTAGTGTTGCTATCTTCTATAAAAAGTCCTTACATCTAAAAAACATCCAAGTTACCCAGGAGCTTGCTCTTCCTGACACCATCATCTGTGAACTATCCTTAAATATCACAGTTCGATTCTTACTATGTTACAGAGCACCTGATTATGACATCGAACATGTAAACAAGCTAAATTCACTACTAACACAGGCAACTTCTTGTCCACATGCTTTTATCTTATTTGGTGACTTCAATCTATCTCATATTAACTGGACCCTAAACGAACGTACAACTGAACCCATACATGCAATCTTCTACAATGCTGTAACAAATCTGGGACTGGAACAACTAGTAACCAACAATACTAGGCTTAACAACTGCCTCGGTCTCATCTTCTGCAATAGTTTGAATTTAATTTATGGAATACAAACTAAAGAACCCTTTTCCAACAGTGACCACAATATGATTGACTTTTGTCTCAACATACGCCCACACAAAAATCATCACATGATTTGGCATTTTTGCTTTTTCCATCCATATTTTTGGTTTATTTTTATGTCTTTTTTATTTTTATTTTTGAGACCTCTTAATTGGATTAAGGTATGAAGAACCTGAAGAAATTTTTCTCTCATCCTTTTTTTTATTATTATTGGGCTTTTTTCTTCTTATTATTTTTTATCTTTTATCTTGGATTACAATTGACTATTTCATAATTGGATTAAGGT